CCAGAGCGCGACGCAGCGAGTCAACCTTCTACTGGATAGTCAGCAGGCAATCAACGCACTCGAGACAGGCAAGTCCACGACAAGCCACGATGAAGTACGAAAATTTCGGGAGTTGTCCAAATCAGCTCGCGTGACAATTAAATGGGTTCCCGGGCACTCAAGAATCCAGGGTAACTTGGAAGCCGACTCGGCCGCCAGGTCTGGCCTACGAATGCTGCCGAGCCCGGAAATGCATCCAGAATCCATCACTCTGGCATTTCTTTATGGCCAAATGAATCGTCTGCGGCAGGCGTTACTCGACGATTGGTGGAACGAAGCTTGCCCGCCCCGATATCGCAAGCTCGACCTGCTCATGCGACGAAGGAAACCACCTGAGCTGGGACTTTCGAGGTTCCTACTCCGAAATCTGATTGCAGCTCGTACTGGACATGGCAATTTCGCGGCGCATCATCGCCGTTTCAACAATCTGGACGCTATAATGGAGTGCGCCTGTGGGGAGGAGACCACTCCTACCCATTTTATTCACTGTCGACTACACGCTCACGTCACGCGTCGACTTAGAGGGAGATCGTCACATAGTGGCTTTATCCAAAAACTTCTCGGGCCAAAGTGTCACGAATTTTTCAAAATCTTTGAGAAGGAAACCTGCTGTTTTGGGTTGCCATCTACAAATTCGACCTCTGATCTCATCGGGGACAATATAAATTAGTCATACAGATGATATGACAGGAAGGAAGACAAGTCGAGGAGATTTGTTTCCGAACCAGAGATTGGTAAATCTACAGAGCTGGATAGTTTTGTGGTTAGGAGTTTGGTTTTTTAAAGGTTGAATTTTTGTACCAGTGCGAATTTTATACTAGCTACTATTTGTGTAGTGGTTCAAGCGGTGGGATCAAGTTTGGCTTATCAGGGATATGATCTTGGCTGTGAACATCGGTCTTTGACCCTTAGGGGATAACGGGTATAGCCTAGGACCTAAATTAATAAACAAACAAACAAACAAACATGCATCACAGCGACGGACGACCTACCGCCACTCGATGCGCCGAGTACCAACCGAATCCCCTGGAACGACCATGTCTCGGACGAGGAGATTCGCATGTGCACCGTAGGCTGCGCCAACACAGCGCCTGGAGCAGACGGGATCTCTGTTGAGCTTCTGCGAACATGTTGGAAGACGATTGGACCATTTGTCGGCACTCTCTTCCGCGCCTGCATCAGACTCGGTACCCACCCATCCTGCTTCAAGCTGGCTGAAGTGGTGCTCCTACGTAAGACGAACCGAGATCAAACGACTGTCAAGGGCTGGAGACCGATCGCACTTCTGTCATGCTTGGGTAAGGGACTGGAACGACTCTTGGCGAAGCGGATGGCCCATCTCGCGGTTACGCTCAACGTTGTCGGAGACCAACAATTCGGAGCGCTCCCTAAGAGGTCGGCAAACGACCTTGTCAACTGCGTAGTCCACGACATCGAAGAGGCAAGCACCCAGGGATGGGCGGCCACATTCACGACTCTCGATGTCCAAGGCGCATTTGATGCAGTACTCCACAACCGTTTGGTGAGGAGGATGCAAGAGCAGGGGTGGCCAGACTCGATTCTTCGATGGACGGCTTCATTTCTTGCACATCGAAAGGTACAAGTCCGATACTCCGGAGGGGTAACCGGGCAGAGAGAGCTGGTTTGTGGGGTTCCGCAGGGATCACCAATATCGCCACTTCTCTTCCTTTTATACATGGCAGAGCCTATGCGAAGCGGCAACCCAGGAGTGAGGTTCAGCTACGCAGACGATGTCGGGATCCTAGGGTTCGGGCGCAACATTACTGAGTCGGCCGCTTCTGTACAGAAGGAAGTGGATCATCTTCTGGAGTGGGCAAGTAACAATGCAGTCTCCTTCGATACTAACAAGTCGGAGATAGTCCAGTTTCCCGGCAGGAAACGCGAGAATCCGGTGGCTATTCGTGTGAACGGCGTGGTTATCGAGCCAGCAGACCAAATACGCTGGCTTGGAATACACCTAGACCCGCGACTGGACTTTAAACACCACGTCACAACTTGGTGTGTAAAGGCATTGAAGGTTGCCCAGCACATGCGCCGTTTCAACTCAGCGTATCGAGGAGCTGCCCCTGCAGCACTGGTTCGAGCAGTGGACACGTGCATTGTCCCCATAGCAACCTTCGGAGCAGATGTTTCGTGGCCCGGCCTCAAACGTCCGACCAAAAGGGGGAATCATCACACCTCGAACCAGCATCTTCTGCGAGATGATTGACAAGGCAATCTTGACAGGACTGCGCGCTGCCCTCCCGGTAATGAGAACGACATCGAATCTTGTTCTCCATCGCGAAGGAGGTATCCCAACTGGAAAGATCATTCTGGAAGGGAACTGATTACGGCTTTCGGCTCGACTGCACTCACTAGACAACCGACATCCGCTCCGGACTCGTGCCGCCGTGTGTCCAAACGTTGGAACACGGAAGTACAAGAAGTCTGCTCGGGTACCCAAGAATCCGGGGATCCAGATGTCACGAGTACAGCGGGCCTACCGTCAACTCCCGGACGCGGAAGACGCCGAGCCTCTGCCGCCGCCATGCTATTCTTCGAGCTCTGGCCCAAGGAAGGAGGAGGAGGAAAAGGCTACTCGGTTCCTTGGAGAAGTACTAGCATCGGATATTTGTGCTTACCCGGATGGATCGTCGGAGGGACATGGTCGCTCAGCATGGGGGTTCGTCTTGAAGAGGGATGGAAAAACTCTGTTGAAGGGATGCGGTATCAAGCATGGTGGTGAAGTGCTCGATGCGGAAATACTAGGGGCGAGGAAGGCCCTGGAAGCTGCGCTGGGATTGTTGGAGAGGGAGAATAGTGGAAGCGACGGCAGGCGGCGGATCAACGTGTTGACGGATAGTCAGTCTACAGTGAAGGCACTGCTGACGGGAACTGCCACAACAAGTTTCGACGACGTGCGCCAATTTAGAGCGTTATCAGAAAAGGCTCGAGTCTCGGTCCAGTGGATACCAGCCCACTCCGGGATACAGGGAAACGAAGAGGCCGATAGAGCTGCACGCTCCGGCCTCCGACAACTGCCAAGTAAAGAGAGCCAGCCTGGCTCCGTCACGTTGGCGTACGTTCGTCGGCTCATGAACCGGAACAGGCAAATGCTTCTTGACGACTGGTGGGAAGAAGCGTGTCCACCTAGATATCGTAACCTGGGTCTTCTCATGCGACGACGCAAGCCACGCGAGCTGGCACTTTCCCGGCGGCTACTTCGTAAACTGATCTCAGCCCGCACGGGACACGGAAACTTCGCCGCATGCCATCGTCGTTTCAACAACTTCGCCGCTTCCATGGAGTGTGCGTGTGGAGAGGAAACAACGCCTCTCCACTTCATTCACTGTCGACTGCACGCACGCCAGACGCGTTGACTACGAGGTACAATGTCACATCACGACTTTGCCCACAAGCTTCTCGGGCCTAAGTGTCTCGAGAACTTTACAAAATTTGCGCAGGAAACCGGCTGCTTCGGGGGCCCACCTGCGACTCCGTCTCCAGCTCTCAGCGGAGACGGTGGCAATTAGTCATAGCACGATGTATGGCAGGTAGGAAAATGAGACCAGAAGTGTCAGTTTCCAACCACAAACAGGAGTATGGGATTTGGAATTTTGGTTATGGGAGTCTGTGTGGGCATTTATTTTCTTTATTATAACTAGCTACTTTTTGTGTAGTGAGTCACGCGGTGAGACCGAGTCGGGTATGTGGGAAGCATGATCTCGGCCGTGTACACCGGTCTTTGACTCCTAGGAGATATAGAGCTTAGCTTAGGACCTAAAAATAAAATCAATCAATCAATCAAACATGCATCACACACTAAACACCCCACAGTTTAGTTCCACAGTCACGTGCATATGCTATGACGCGACCTAAAGCATGTACCATGGTAAGTTACATGGATAACACAACACCAGTACAGTTGATACTGTTTCCTTTGAAATACTTGTGGGTATCATGGCTATCTAGCCACGACACATGGTCAATTCTTTGTATGGATATATGAAAGTTTATTGACTCGAGACACTCATACACCTGTTTCCAGTCGAAAAAATTACGGTCAGGTTGATTTTCTCACACAGAGCAGTTGGCAGTCGGCCGTGAGCATAATAATGGAAGCTCCGAAACCTTTGGGTGTTTTAGCGCGCGAGTGTCGCGGGAAATGAAGTAGTCCTGCTGGATTCGAGCTAGCGATCTACTGCTATAAGTAGGATACATGCCCTGGTTCTTGAGACTCTGCATATACTCAGGTGATGAGAGATGTGGTTTTTGAAGTGAGGATAGATTAGATCCTACTTGTAAACTTGACGAGGCTCTGGTCGAAACAGGTCTTCTTGGGAGGGAAGAATTGGATAAGTGTGGAAGCTTGAATCAATGCCTCATGGACCAAGTCCGTATGGCGAAATTTGATTAACTTGGCTCTGGTAGAATATTTCATTCCCAGGTTCGTGGAAGACACAGCAGACAGGTACTCAGCCTTGGTCCTTCAACTAAATGTCTTTTTGGGCACACCTAAGGCTGCGTATATCTGAGCCTTTATCGTCAGCTAGACCATGAAGATGTTCAGAGAGCTTCGCACAAATATCAAGATGCGTGATGGTATCGTATGACTGAGACCTGCATATTGTTTCAGTGCCTGTAATAGCATTACATTACCTATCAGTACTACCGACCTGAAAGAGATTTGGCTTTGGAAAAGTTGATCTATTAGTAGGATCGCGAATTTGAGATAGCAGGGGAGTTATAGAGTTCACCAGGTTATGAAATATCCGGCACGACAATACTCCTGGTATTTGATACACTAAGAAAGCTGTTGTAGACCAAGACTTGACTGAAAAGGGAGGCCCTAAATATTATCTTCAAGACTTGGCTCAGTCCCTGCTGCCACCCGCATGTGCTCACCATCGCGTCACCTTCAGATGGCGAGGCTTAGCAACGTGAAGTAGACAGCCCATTTCTCACCGCATTACCGGCGGTCGCCCCTCCTTATTCCACTTGACCCGACTTCGGACCCATTCGACGGCTTCTCGAACACCAGTGCCAGTGAGGGCGCTGACGGGTAGCACGCGCGAGTCTCGAATCGCTCCACCCCGACCCCCCTCAAAGACGCCTTTAATGAACCCTTCTTTAATACGCACCACCTCGACGCAGTCTTCACGATCCTGTTTGTTAGCTAGCACGAGCAGCGGCACGCCTTCCGTTTCCCCATGACCCAGCACATCTTCCAAGACCAGTCGACATTCATCCAGCCTCCCCGAAGCGTCATGATCTAGATGCCCATCCCCAATGTCGGTGCTATCGATTAAGAAAATAATGGCGTGGCATGAGCGGTAGTAGGATTGCCAGAGTTTTCGAAGCGTCAGTTGGCCACCGACGTCCCAGATCTTGAGGTACATATCTGGCAAGGTGACGGTGCTAACATTCTGCCCAACCGTCGGTACCGTATGCAGTTTCGGCGCCGGTGCATCAGCAATAAAGAGAGACTTGACCTGTTCATGAAAAGTAGTCTTGCCCGCGTTGTCGAGGCCGAGGAGGAGAACCGAGTATTCTGAGGCCGAGCCACGTCAGTTCCAAACTAGACGGAAGGGATAGGTTGGTACCTTCTTTGCTTGTGGCGTACTGATAGAGCCCCTTCACCAAGTGATACATGTCGCGTGCCGACCCGTTCTTTCGCGGCTGAGGTTAGAACGGTTGGTATTCTTCATCTGTGGCTTGGCCCGATCGCCCAGCGCCCCAGCTCTCCTTGGGTTGAGCGCGATCGTTCTCCGTGGCCAAGAAGGACGAGATAATGGACTGGGCGGAAGCGGCTTAGTGGGTAGTGGCAAGGTGGTCAACAGAATGGTCGAGTCATGTAAGCTGAGTTGTCTTGGGGAATAGAGATTGTGGGGTTTGGGGCGGCGGCAGATGTCTCTCCCTGCCACGTTGGCACACCAGACTTTTTGCAGGGATCCCCGAGTACGAATCAGACAACCTTCTGCGGCTCAGCGGTCAAGCAGCCTCGCCCACTACAACTTACCCTTTTCAGTCTCACACCAAACGAAGCTGCTTAAAATCAATTTCGTGACGCGACTTTCCCCATGTGAAATGATACTGCAATCCCTTTTCATTAATCATTAAGTGTATATAGCCTATCTAGCCAAGAGACTGATTACATTTTTAGCCCTATTTGGGTTTATTCCCATTCTTGCCTCCAGTGAATACATGTGAGATTTTCCTAAAATAACCTTTGATAGAGCATGTTGTTTATCTCAAGATTCGTTTAGTTTCCATCCTCCTCACCCTCGCTGCAATTAAGACAGCATGTTGAAGAGAGATATCTTATTATTGCAGTTTTCCCTAAATCTATGTTGAATAGTATCCTTGGGGTAAGTGGTTTAAAATCTCAAAGTGTTCTTCTTAAGAAAGATACGTGGGACACGGTATTACGTTGTAAATATTGACTAAAGAGCGGTATAGGTACAAATGAATTCTTTGTGCTGCTAGACGGTTGGATGGTGCAGTGGTACACCATTCCGGTCGTTCCCCCGGGTAGATGCTGGGTAGCTTGAACACCTTATCCATCTGAGACAGGAGAAAAATGGTATGGAACCACTATAACGCAGACACTCATCCCTCTCGCGGAGGCATTGTAATTGCGGGTTGAAGAAAGCACACTCGGATAGCTACAGCTTTTGCACGCTCTTCCCTGTGGTGGGCATGCGCGGAAGAGGTTATAAGCCGTAAGGGTTAGTCTCGAGTGGTATCTGCAAATGAAATCTGAGTGTATGTGTTCTAAACGTCAAATTAAGTCATCCTACTTAAATTACATATCATCCGATAAAACCTGCATGAGCCTCAAGGCGCCAAATCAGGATATTGAATAGTATATATATATATATATATATATATGTACTGCTAGAAAGGTCATGTGACCTGTCTAGCTTAGTTTACATGTGTAGGTGAAATGTTACCCCTACAAGATTCTCACCTCTGTCTTTTGAGTTTGGGGTAGGGAAAAATTAGATGCTTTATTATTTGAAAATTACTTGAACAAAAATTGCATAAATTATTAAGGAAATAATGACCCCTCAGTCATTGAGGCTGTAGAGCGCATTGACTCAAGTAACTACCGAAGTGAAACTGAGTACAGAATTTGTAGTCACGTGTATATCAACAACGTGGCCTACTTGATAGCCCCAATGATTCTATTTTCCAACATAAATCTATATCACTTTTTCCTATCGCTCTCAATTAGGTTACGTTGTTTCCTATTTCAGTTCATGCTTGAATATTGGAAGACTTAGCACTTATACCATATTTTTTAAGGTTAAATGTGTTCAGCGTAAGGAATGGAATGTAACACTTCATGTGAGCCCTGTAGAACTTGCCTGATACCTTCGCTCTCCTACCATTATCTTCTTGCCTTTGTTGAGATGCCCAATCTCTAGACCAAGCATTCACTGCAGTACTTGCGCCTATGTACATGGTGCAAAGACACTTATAGAATCGGAGCAACTCATCGAGTCACTATAATCTGTGCCAAGATAATTACGATATTATCCTTCCAGCCACCTCACAAAATGCACGCTCGCCGACGATACGGAGATCCGAGTGGACACTTAGGCTAAAATTTCTGTTGATCAGGTATCTGTTAATATGACTGATTCTACTGTCCGACATACCCAGCAAACATGTGGGAGGACGATGTCTGAACACCTGTCAGTGGTGTCCTCTACGAAACTACGGGTAAAATATTCTCCAAGAACCAAGATTCAATCACGATAAAGTGTGTATTCGAAAATTTTCGTCGAGATGACGATCGGTAAGAGATTTCACGACCGGATAACCAACTAATACAGACATCTACACTCCCAATGCTGTATGGGAGGCATAGAAGAAGATATACCACTAGCATAGGTATCCTTGGCCTGTATGCAGAGAGGACCTGGATATCACACGTAGTCATAGACTCAGACAGGACAATAAATTAAAAAAATCTACACCCCAAATGTGAACCGCTAATAAGATAAAAGCTGTCTGATGCTCGTGTTCAAACAACTGATAACCTTCAATTTCTTAAATTTCCTAAGGTCTTTTCCATCCAAATTCATCCCGCAACCCTTTTCACAATCATCTTACCACCTGCCGAAGCACACCAAGATCTAAAAGTTATACTCGCAATCTAGGCTTCAAGTGGACACCCACCCAGTCGTAACTGTCGTGCTCTATGAAGGCGCAGTAAAAGTACCGGCCTTATCATCCTTCAACCTCGGCCAAGAGCACCAACTACTTGACCTGTGACGAAATACGTACGACATCTCGCTGCACACCAACTGGAGCATTCGACAAAAGCCGAGGCATCGGTGCCTCGGTCTTAAGATCTTCGACCTATATTTGGTCTCCACGATCAGAGATGCGGCAACGACAAGAAAAAGCCAGAGGGATGGAATGTCTACAAAGTTTCTGAGATAAACATAACGACAGAAGTATTAAGGAAAAAATCTAAAGGGGTTACGGTGTGCGACTGGATGAGGCATCCAGTGAATAAAACGGTCTCTGAATGAGATGAGATATGACTCGATCTGAATGGAAAGAACAAAGTAGAGGTTGTGAAGATGTTAGGGGCTCGGCCGCGTGGTGGCCGAGTCTGAGTAGGAAATTGCGTTCCTGCCTGTAAACATTGGGTTCTCTGGACTGTTGGACTGGACATATTCAACACAAGGGTGAGGTTTAAGTTAGCCCAATCATTTAGGTGGGACGAAGCTTATGTACTTGTATATTAGTTAACCTGACCCAGCCCAGCTCCACTTGTGCTCAAGCTCTAGTAGGAGTGCGGAGGAAGCCAATGGCCTCGCACCTTAATAGACCAAATTAAACCAGCAAACATATATACGCATGTGATACCACCATATTTCCTCACAATACTTGCCCGTGGTTTACATGTTCGTCATGCTCCACCGTCTTCTCCGATGCCTTGCTGTCCTTATAAGAACAGTTAACAGTACTTATCTCAGCATCACGAAAGCTCCGAGCATTAATGTTGAGCCGTGTAATCTCCTATCCTTACGCATGATTAAAGTTTTTCCGGGCCTGTTTACAACGAAGTTTGGTCTCGAACGGCGCCGTCATCTCCTCTCTTCAACATTGGACATCGGGACAGCGTGCAAGAGATGGAACAATATGGTTTAAATCACCAAACTACAGCCGGCAGGGAATCATCTTGTGTGTGATACGCCTAACACTTGGTTAGAGAGATGTCGAGGTATTTATAGGCTTAAAACTGATCCTCAGTCTAACCTGGCGTATTGTTGCTGGAAAAGAGGTCATTGCGCAAAGTCAAGTGACAACCCAACGGGCAAGAAAGACGGTGGATTTCAGCATCTAATCTACATCAGTTGGGCTTATTCTCCTTTAAATTGGTGGGGTTTAGATCTATCAATGAGCGAGCTACACATAAAGACTAACTTAGCTTTAATGATAGGAGGCATGGTTTGTTGTCTCTAGTCTGATTGTCAGTTATACCAATGGCTAGGCAATGAGTTAGCTACTTTATCGAATCTAAAGCTGAGCTTAGCCTCTAGCCTATCGAAAGCTGTAAGGCCCAGTAAACACGTTGATGGGCGCAGACACATGTAGGTAATAAATCAACCTGGCGCTCGGCTCAGAGGCGGGTGGAGTCTTTGCATCTTGGATGATGAGATTGAAATGAGACGATCCTTAACGTAACCTCTGTTCTAGAAGGAATAGCTTTCATTGGCAAAGATAGCCAGAAATTACCAATGATAGCGCCGCGAGTCATTGGAGGTAGTCGAGGGCAATCTAGGACGCAATTGCTGGGAAGATGTTGCAGCTGGCATTGGCTTGTTTATCAGAGTTGAACGTTTAGGCATTTCAAATAGAATCTAAGTCAGAGACACCCTGCTACAGACATCTTCATACTCTAGATGAAGAAAAAAAAGACTGGTAGAAGAATACAACTGGGTCTTTTTGTCGATTTGGGGGTTTCTTTTAATGACTAGTTCGATTTGTAACTATCTCGCCATAAATTATGGTCAATCTAAGACGAGATTAATGACCTCAGACACCCATAAACTGTATTCCATTCGCATGTCTTGAAGCTTAGTTTTTGGCTGAGGAAGATGAGGTAGAGATTTGTGGGTTACCTTGTATGGAACGACTAAGACATGGGTGTTTAAGTTATCTCCAACTGTTTTTTTTTGCATCAGATTTTAATTGCGTATGCAGCTATCTAGCCATGACACAATATCAAAGAAAAGTACAGAAAAGATGACTCAATTTACAAGAGGAGCACTCATGCCTCAGATTTCATTTGCAAGTACCACTGCGAAGTTATGGTGGCTTTTTCTTCACCCCAAGTCAACCCTCATCCGTGAATAGCCACCCAATGGAACGTCTCAAAAACCCTAGGTTATCCAGACATGCCTCCGTCATCCATCAACTTTTCTCCGCGCGAAATGTAATCTGAGATGTCTTCTTCCCAAGTGGAGTAGATTCCCAGGCTATTCAAACTATACCGGAGAAAACCACCAGGAGGCGGACCACCACACCTTCCATCGTTGACTTATGTCTATAGTGTAAGCTGCACTCTCGCAAGCGAAGTCTTGGTGCGCACAAAGCCCAATTCGTAAAACTCCTTGCCAAATTTCGGAATTTCATGCCCTTCGAGGTTATATCCTTCCTTCGCATCATCTTGTAAACTTGTCCCGATCCCTCTCACGTCCATCCCAAAGAACTGTCTCCCAGATTTTTGCGCTACGCTTTGCTTCCTCCGTCGGGTATAAATATTGGCGTGGGCGTGTATTTGGTGGTCAACTGAGGCCAGAGAAGGACGAAGGGCGATGTGGTCATTGGGATGAGGATGTACTATGTCGTACTTGTAGACTTGATGAAGCTTAGTTAAGAATCGGACTCTTTGGGAGTGAAAGATTGACATGGTGGAGTAACTTGGATTTTTGCCTCGTGGGCGAACTTCTTTGATATTGCGAAATTTTACTGAACTTGGCTCTGGGAGAATATTTCACTCTCGGGTTCGTAGAGGACACTCCGTACAGGTGTTAAGTCTTGCTCTCCGGCAAGTAGGCACATTGGGCTCCTTTCTCTAACGGCTGGTAAGCCGTTTGGTTCCTGTAGCGCATGTTGGCCAACACGAGCCTAGCCTGACATTGGTAGAGCACGATTGATCGACATCAATGCGCGAATATATGATGCCACTCGACAGAATATCAAGGCATTGGCATCTAGTTTTGAAGGGCAGCAGTATTGGACCATACAGCTACAACACATTGAGATGTTACAACAAGTAGAGTCAACACATGTGAGGAATCCCATTGGAACCGAGAGGGAGGGACTGTGCATCAAACACATAGACAATATATATATATATATATATATATATATACATATATATATGTATATATATATATATATATATATATATACATATATATATGTATATGTATAGATAGAGACTGAAGTAGTTTTCTCTTCAGAATTATAATTTACATACTATCGACCACATAGTTGCACCAGCGCCTGTTTCTTGATCCGTGACACTCTCTGAACCCGGCCATACCTTGTACAGTGCTCCTTGCCTCTTCTATTACTTGAAAGATCATTGATATATTCCCCTTGATGAATAACCATTCAGCTCAGTATTTATCCATGGAACTCGGCCACCTTTTCCACGGAACCTTCCACCCAAAAAAAATGAAAAAAAAAGGTAGCAATGGAAACTGCGTGCGCGGGAAAAAGTCTCAATAAGCCAGCAGCCCCAGCCAGGCGAGGCCTAGACACCAGGACCACATGAGGTGCGCATATTCATCTATATCTCCCTTGTTCGTAACATTGGAGCCGGACTTGATGCAATCCGCCATCTCCGTATCGGGTGCTGGGTACGCTCCGGAAACTCATCAGATGGCTTCTCCTCCATGATCAAGGGTTGGTGACGAGTAGGGCTCCGACCCTACCATCTGATCTGACCCTGGTCGGCTTCATGATAATGGTGAAAGGGGTATGTGTTGAGAGATGAAGACGATACAGACCGCGAAAGCGATTGGGAATCCTCGTCGAAGTGAGGACTTTGTTACTCAATCTCGGCTCTGCAGACTCTACAGTGAGAGCTGGAGGTTCGTAGGGGGCTTCGCTGACAGGTGTTGGGAATAGTCACCCATTACTGTTATGGTTATAAGCTTTGCGGAAGTCATATTGCAGAGTGGTGAGGAGTAGATAATGTTTTTTTTTTATTGTTTCATTTTATTGTCCTGTCTGAGTCTATGACTATGTAGGACATGCAGGTCCTATCTGCCTACAGGCCAAGGATACTGTCGGTAAAAGGATTATATTTCGGTGTTATGAATTGGTCTATGTAATTGCGGTGTTCAGGTTGTCGTTAGGACGCTGACAGGGATATGATTTAGCTCATTAGCGAGGCGCTTGGAGTAGAGGAAGAAAGGGCAGAGGGAGAAGGAAAAGGAGAGACAACGTTTTATGTATATCGAGATACCAGTTAATTGACATTATTCACCGACTTCGTGACGGACAGCTGACTTCGTGACGGCACCCAATTTGTATTACTTCGTGTTTTACCAACAGATACCTATTCCAGTAGTATATCCCCTCCTTTGCCTCTCATACAGCTCCCCTCAAATAGTACCACCCCTCAAAAGTCCTCATTCGACTATACACTTAGAGGAGCCCTTTGCCCTTCAGTATCTCCCCTCTCCAACCAACGAAATGATGGCCATTTGCGGGTGCATGGCAGCCGGGGAAAATCGCAAAAACCACTGGGTGCGGGGCTCTTCTAATACCTAAATTAGGACTAAATCCGAAGACATAGTGACCTTTCTCAAGTGTTGAAAGAGGCCGGCCAGCTGGACGCTGCAGACTTGTGGGTACCTCGGCAAATTCACCCTCTGCCTTTCTAGCCTCCTTCCAACTCCTTCCCGAAGGTCCTGCTGAAATGTCAGAAATGTCTTAACACAGCTTGATTGCTATATATAAGCTTAGCTCAATCTCTTTTCTGCTGTCCAGGACACTAGAAAGTCCCGTTGACTCATCGACAAAAGTGGCCCTCCTGGCTAATTAGGCGAAATCTCGGTCTTGGCGCCCACAAAAAAATCCAAAGTTGAAAATACTTCGAAAATGTCAGCCCCAGCATGGTCTTCAGAGACCTGTTCCCCCTATCGCTTCACATCTCAGCCGCCTGTTCCTCCTCAAGATGTATAACCCCGATAGAGCATAAGTTCTCCATACACTAAGACCCTAACTTTGTGTATTAAGACTTAATTTTCTCCTTGCGAGTATAAACAAAATAAATAAATAATTTATTCAATTTTCTTTATTTGGAGCCTTGAGGCCCATGCAGGTTTCATCGGAAGATATGTACTTTAAGATGACTCAATTCGACGTTTAAAACACTCACACTCAGATTTCATCTGCAAATACCACTAGGGCTTAACCCTTATGACGTATCATCTCTTCCGTGCATACCCACCACAGGGAAAAGCGTGAAAACCCATTGATTATCTGAATACGCTTTCATCAACTCACACATACAATGTCACCACGAGAGAGAGTGGTGTGTGGTTTTTACTGGAATCAAACCAACTTCCTCCCGTCTCAAATGGGTAGGTGTTCAGGCTACCTAGATTTGTCAGGTAACTGGGAGCCTGAGCTGTAACTGGCGAAGTGTATGTAATTAAAGTAAAAGAGAACTCAGTAAAAACAATTTGATTCCTATTTCTCCCGGAATTCTAGGACTAAATACACAGATCATGACTGACTTGATCTCTAAATATAGACATGCGCTAGGAATAGAATAACCTCCAGTTCTAAATACAGAATGTAAGCACTGATCGAAACAAACAGCCCACGTGAGTGCAGGCGACACTATAAACATCGCCATGGTTAGATGGTGCGGTGGTACATCGTCTTGGCCGGTCTGCCAAGTGGAGTCTGGATAGCTTGGACACATATCCTATTCGAGAGAGTAGATCGCTGGTTCAAATCCGGCAAAACGTAACCACATTTCTCGCGGCGCTGGTATATATGGATGACGAAGGTATGCTTGGATAATCAAAGGTTTTTAAATTCCCTTTGGTGGGTACTGACGGAGGAGGGTCGACTGTTTGTGTAAGCGAACATACCTTATAGTGGTATTTGCGAATGAAACCCAGAGTAAGACTGTCTCTAACTTCAAAAGAGGCATCCAACATATATACATAGCACCGGTCATGTGTCATAGCTAGATAGCTGAATACACATTAAATGATTTAAAAAAAAGCTTTAAGTTGGGATTAGTGTTAGTCAGGGTATGAGACTGAACCTTAAGGATTTCCCGACAAGATTCGCGATGATATTTTGTCTGGGCTGGTCTCATAAGTAGATTCTGGGTAGCATGGACACATCCCACTTGAGACAAGAGATTGCTTGTTCGAATTCAGCAAGGTTAAAATACATTTCTCGCGGCGCTCTTGTACATGAATGTCGGAGGCATGCTAAGATAACTAAAGGTTTTGAAGCTTGTCTGTAGTGTTTACTCGCAGAAGGGGGTGAACTGCTCTGATTAAATAAGCAAACCTCAATGATATTTGCGAATAAAATTTAGAGTCCCTAAGTTAACAAGATTCAAACATATTCACAAAGCACTAGTCATTTGTCATAGCTGTGTAGCTGAATTCACTTATATGATGTGAAAAAATCTTTATTGGTTACTTATACTTTGACGTTGGTAGGTTGAAATAAAAGTTTTGATCGTAGATTCTATTGACTCTTGCTAGGAAGTAAGAGCCTGGGAGATTGAAGAGGCGAATAAAAGTAAATGTTCGCTCTATAAATCTTTCACGCACTCGGCCAGGACCAGATGAAAACCTAAGTCTAAAGTTCTTGGAGAGATTTCACTAAATGTTTCAACTTTTCACGGTCCGCTCCCCTAAATTCATTATGTTTTTCACCATTCTTGATAGACACAAACGTTGGCATGGCTTTGACTCCAAACTCAGTAGATAGTTCCGGAGAATTGTCTACGTCAACGCTAATGAAATGTATATCTTTATAATCATTGGATAACCTATGAACAATCAATTTCTATTAGAATCAAGATAATATCTTTGACAGATTTAGTTGAAAAACGGTTTGAACTTACGATTCAAAGTCTGGAGCAATCATTCTGCAGGGACCACACCATTCCGCTGTGAACCGAATTATAATATGTTCATGATTCTTAGTGAGTTTTCGGTATTCATCAAGACTTTATTTGGTAAGTCTCATACAAGAAGAAGTGTTTTGTAGGGATTCTCGCTTTTGGCTCATTGATAGGCATCTGGCCAGGACTCTGCTTACCTTGTAACTGTGTTAACGACCATCTTTATATCTCAGATGCGTGTATATTATGTGATGAAAATGAATTGGTTTAACGACTAAATGTTCAAAACCAGGCGATCCACGATTTGTACTTGTTTTCAGTCTTTTGATGGGTGCATGGCTACTTTTATGGTTAACTGCGCGATTCAAATGAAGCAGATTTACTATGTGTCACACTGCGGGGTAAGTTCGTCATCTAGACGGAAAGCTGAAAATGCGCGAGCTTCGGCCAAAAATGGCAAAGTATGACGTGGTCTTTCCATTTCTCGATTTTTGACTATGCAGGTCAGACCCATCGATTTTGATCAACATTTAGTTGAACTTCAACGTCAAATAATTCACCCATATAATATCCAAAAAAAGACTGAGACTCAAACATGATCAAGCCTATCACTGTCAATTTTGTTAATACCGAAGAAGTCGGCCAACAAGGTAGTGGTTCAAGAAACCCTACTGATACGACCTATGCTTCCACAAAAGAATAAGTGTGTTCAATCCTTTGTGAACTACAGAAGCAGTGTTAATATCAGTAAAACTTACTATTTTAGCCATCATATATTCCATGCTTTGTCTAATACTTTGAGGGGGAATATACTTAACCTCTGTCAGGGGTATCTCTACGAACCTCCAACTCTCACTTTAAAGTTGACAGAGCTAAGATAGAGCAATACATTCGACCTCAATTTGATTAGAAACCGGACTTATGGTTTCTGTCGTCTTTATCCCTCAAACCATCCCCCTACTACCGTCATCCTCAGGTGTTGGAAATCTAGACTGAGTATATATGAAGATTTAGATTTCTAGGCATGATCATCAAAATCAACTGGATTGATTCGATTACGCATGGATAAGCTTAGCTGGGCGAAATGAGGTTCAGTGGTATCTGAAATGCAGTGGCTAGGAAATGCTACCTTGCGATAATTAAGTGGCTGGTTGTCGCTAGATTACTTGGAGTTTGGGATCACTAAGGCCTCGGGGATCTGTATTTAATGATAAACTTACTTGCAAACGTTAGATTTAGTTAACGGAATATTACATATTATTAATTCATATTGAGAAGAGAGTTCGACATCACATACAACTCTCAATAAATTCTTGTCCGAAATTGTTCACTTTTTCTTCGAGATATTTCCTCCTAGAAATCCTTGACAATGTCAACATAAGGTTAACTACGATCAGATGAGATGGTAGGGTCAGAGCCCTTCTCATCACCAATCCTTGATCACGGGGAAAAGGCCATTTTACAAGTATCCGGAGCGCATCATGCACCCGATTAGGAGATAGTGGATTGGATCAAATCCGCTTCGAATGTTACAGATAATAGAAATATAGATGGATATACCAACCTCATGTGGTCCTGGTATCAAGTTCAAGGTGCTTGCCTGTAAGAAATTTGGAGCATTATCTCTACGCTCAAGTGTAGACCTTACGACCTGCCTCACTCATGACACTGAGATGACATTTGCTAAGGGCGAAACTGTCACAGTAGCCACCCTAGACGTCAAGGGGACATTTGATACCGTTTTCCAGGCAGACTTGTTTGAACTTTAAGAGAACAAGGCTGGCCGTCGCAACTTTGCAACTGGGCTGTACATTTTCAGCCAAACGCGAAATCTGTATGTGTTTAGATAGAGAAGCTGGCGAACCTAAATCAATTAACTGCGGAGTACCTCAAGGCTCACCAGTATCACCCATACTATTCATGTTATATATCGCACCTTTGTTTAAATGAATAGCTTCCAAAAAGCACTTGGGTATGTAGATGATATCTGCATATTAGAAACTTCAGAGTCATTGCAAGAAAAATTTTTGAAGATTGGCGCCATATCTGACTAAGTTCTAATATGGAGCGCTTAAGGGGAGTTGACCTTCGACCCTGACAAGTCAGAACAACTTCACTTTACCAGAAAATGCAGAGAGAAAGAGACAAGTCCTTGCGTGTACACAAGCTAATTTATTAACTCAGAAACCATACCATAAATGATTGAGAGTATATTTCGACAAGCAGCTTAATTTCAAGCAACAAATACAAAAACAAGCAGTCAAGGCTACAGGAGGGCAAGACTGAACACCTGTGCGCGGTGTCCTCTACGAACCTGGGAGTTGAATATTATCCCGGAGCCAAGTTAATTCAAATTTCGCAATATCAAAGAAGATGGCCCACGAGGCAAAAATTCGAATTACTCCACCATGTCAATCTTTCACTCCCAAAGAGTCCGATCCTCAGCTAAGCTTCATCAAGCCTACAAGTACGACATAGTACATCCTCATTCCAATGACCATACCTCTCGTCGACTTTCTCTGGCCTCAGCCGGTCACCAAATACACGCCCACGCCCATATTTATACCCGACGGAGGAAGCAAAGCGTGGAGCACAAATCTGGGAGATAGCTCTTTGGGATGGACGTGAGAGGGATCGGGACAAGTTTACAAGATGATGCGAAGGAAGGATATAACCTCGAAGGGCATGAAATTCCGAAATTTGGCAAGGAGTTTTACGAATTGGGCTTTGTGCGCACCAAGACTTCGCTTGCGAGAGTGCAGCTTACACTATAGACATAAGTCAACGATGGAAGGTGTAGTGGTCCGCCTCCTGGTGGTTTTCTCCGGTATAGTTTGAATAGCCTGGGAATCTACTCCACTTGGGAAGAAGACATCTCAGATTACATTTCGCGCGGAGAAAAGTTGATGGATGACGGAGGCATGTCTGGATAACCTAGGGTTTTTGAGACGTTCCATTGGGTGGCTATTCACGGATGAGGGTTGACTTGGGGTGAAGAAAAAGCCACCATAACTTCGCAGTGGTACTTGCAAATGAAATCTGAGGCATGAGTGCTCCTCTTGTAAATTGAGTCATCTTTTCTGTACTTTTCTTTGATATTGTTTGTTTCTATTCTATTTTTAAGTCCTAGGATATACCCGTTTTCCCCTGAGGGTCAAAGACTGGGGTTTACAGCTAAGATCATATCTATGACATGCCCAACTTGTTGCCACCATATGAACCGCTACTCAAATTGTAGCCAGTTAAATTACATGCAGCCATATACAAAATAGAAATCACAACATAACTCCAGGCTCCAAAACTTTGAGCTCCAACTAAATATCAGCACTGGTGGTTGGGAAGCAAAACTTCTCGCCTTGTTCCCTTTCCGATCGAGTCATGTTACATGACTAATTTATATGGACCTCGTTGAGAGCAGAGGTCCAGCCTGTAGCTGATCGCCCATAACATCGGGTTTTCTGTGCAAATTTTCTGAAGGCTTCAAGGCACTTGGGTCCGAGAATTTCATGTGTAAAGTCGTCGTGGGACTTTAGTCCTCGTATTCGACGTGTTTCGTGAGAGTGGAACCGACAGTGTATAAAGCGGGTTGGACTAGTCTCTTTTCCACACGCGCACTCACAAGGTGCGTCTGCATTGTTGAATCGGCGATGATAGGCCGCGAAATTGCCGTGTCCCGTACGGGCTGCAATTATTTCGCGGAGTAGATGCCTTGATAGAGCCAGCTCTGGCGGCTTGCGCCGTTTCATGAGCAGATCTAGCTTCCGGTACCGAACAGGGCACGCTTTATCCCACCAATCGTTGACCAAAGCCTGTAGCCGGTTATTAATGAGACGGCGAAGGTATGCCAACGAAATGGTTTCTGGTTGGTTGTCCGGACTGGGCAGCATTCGTAAGCCGAGGCGCGCAGTAGCGTCTGTTTCTTCGCTCCCTTGTATTCCAGAGTGACCGGGGATCCACTTAATCGTCACAGCAGCGGGCGCTGAGAGTATGCGTAACTGACGTACCTCTTCGAGGCTGGTTGAAGAGATGCCCGTCTCAAATGCTTTTACAGCATGCTGACTATCTAGAAAACATTCACGCGCCATATTGTCTCCCCCAGCTGCTGTTGCGCTTCTTTCATTCTCAGTGCCGCCTCAAGAGCCTTTAGCGCCCCTGAGATTTCTACGTCCAAGACTTCTCCTCCGTATCGGATACCATTCTCCTTGTGAAGAGTTTTACCAAATATCTTCACAACAAAACCCCAAGCTGAACGTCCGTTTCCCTCCTAATAGCCGTCTGAGTAGGCGCAAATTTCCGATGCGGGCACGTTGTCTATCCAAAGTTTGCTCGCTTCTTTTCCTTCTTACTTAGTCATGGACCTGGCAGGGTAAAATGGCGGCGACAAAGGCGTCGAAGCTTCTGCGTCCGGAAGTTGTCGGTAAGTTAGTTGTGCACGAGTTCTTTGTCTATATAAATGATCAAATCCTCGTGGATTCCTCTTGTACTTTCGAGTCCCAACGCCTGGGCACATTGCAGCATGAGATCTCAGCGGGTGCTGATCATCGAGGGTTTTTATTCTAGCTGGAAATCGTAGTCGATGTTGTAATTAAGGGAGTAACATGACTGCATTACAATAAACTGTTCACATTAGAATAATGTGCACATGCGCCATGGGATATGATTGACCTAAATCATCACTCATTGGTATGACATAGTATTTCCCAATAGATTCCTAATGGTATCTATTGGCGCTAGGATCTCTCACATCCTTCCTTTCTCGGTTAGACAAGGACAGATGTTGGAACATCCACTAGTGTGCAGAACCCCCTTATTCATGTATATAGAAGAAGGTCCTGTCACGTAGATAAATTAAGCAATTCATACAATAGGAAATTCAAACAATCTCCATATTATTTACACACCTGAGAATACTAGGGAATATCCTCAAGTTCGTCCATTGATCCAAGTCCTAAGAGTATAACTCACGAACTTTACTTCTCTAAAAGCCATAGCTACCTCCTTCCATACCTTCATCCTAACGGTACGTCATTCCAGCTCAGCATAGCCTTTCAATAGTCGATTTCCCTCTAGAATAATATTTGCGGGAGGGATTCCATCTTAACTGTGCAGGACTACATTAGGGGTAGTCCGCAGATTCGGAAGTGCAGATCGGAGACCCATTATTTTGGCTTTGTCGATCATAGTACAGAGGTTCGCGGTAGCTGGCGTGGCTACTCCTGC